AAGTTGTTATCACATCTCTCCCAACCATCCCGAGAATCGTTGAAACGATTGTCGCCTGCGTATCGATCTGCATCAGATCGATACACTACTCGTAACGGTTTACTGTATTATACAGCCGTTTCTGGTGACACACCACGTGTTGTCATCCCAGATGATACTGATCTGCGTTTGCGGATCATGTTCGAGTATCACGATGCTCCTATAGGAGGACATCGTGGCCGAGAGAAAACATATCTCACGGTAAGTCGAGACTTTTACTGGCCCCGCCAGTATCAGTTTGTGCGAAAGTATGTTCGCGCATGCGAAGTCTGCCAACGAGTGAAGTCAAGTCCTTCACTGCGTGCACCTTTACAGCCTCTACCGGTTCCGGCTGAGTGCTGGGAATCCATCTCAATGGATTTCGTCTTCGGGTTACCCAAAGACGCACGCGGGAATACGGGTATTCTCGTATTTGTTGCCAGATTCAGCAAAATAGTACACCTTGTGGCTGTACCAGAGACAATCACGGCAAGTGGCTGTTCTTGTGTCTTTATTGACACCATCTTCCGACTTCATGGGTTGCCCCGTGAACTCGTATCAGACAGAGATCCACGATTCACTGCTGATTTCTGGCGGTCCGTGTTCAAATCACTCGGAACGCGCTTGAAGATGTCAACATCTGATCATCCAGAGTCAGATGGTCAGACGGAACGTGCCAATCGTGTCCTTGAAGAGATACTTCGAGGATACGTACACTCCTTTAAGAGTTGGAGTGAGTTTTTGCCAATGGTAGAGTTTGCCATCAACAACTCGGTGCATGCGTCCACGACACATACACCGTTTTACGTGAATGGCTTGCGCCATCCGCGTGTACCCACCTTACTAGAGTGTAACTCTGGTTTAAGGGGGGGAGGGACTCGCGCGAGCAAAAACCGATTTGGTTCACGCTCATCACGCTCTGAAGAAGAAGTCATTGCGTTTGATGCCGATATCGATAACATCGATATCGAAGAAGATGATGCCAGTGAGAGTGCGGAAGCCCTCACTGAAGACAATGATCCCAGTGAGAGTGCGGAAGCCCTCACTGAAGAAAAGGTTGTTGTTGCTGCAGTGCGCTCACAGCGCACTGAAGCTAACGAGTCATCAGATGAGTTCATACTGGCTCGTGAAACGGTAGTCCGTTTTGTGCAAGACTCCATCGCCGAAGCGGTGGATAAGCAAAAGCAAAACGCTGACAAGAATGGAAGGGCAAACACTCTTTTATTTAATAAAGGTGACTTAGTCCTACTGTCTACGGTTAATCTACCAAAGCATGTAGTGACTAACTTGGGTAGCAGTAAACTACTACCCAAGTACATTGGCCCCATTTCGTGTATTGCACCGCCTAGGCAATGCATACACGATCGAGTTACCACGTAAGATGCGAACGCATCCCACGTTTTACGTTGGTCGGCTTAAGCCGTACCATCAGTACGCTGCTTCTTCCGATGAAGAACGCCCTTGCGCTCAAGCATCTCGCAGAGAGCCTTGTGCTCCCGATGGTGGGCATCAACAAGGGTCTGAAGAGCAGTTATCTCATCCCGAGACCGATCAACAATCCCACGAGCTACCCTTAGCTCGTCACGAAGAGATGTCAGAGATCTCTCGTTCTCAAGCTGAGCAAAGGCAAACTCAGCTCGATGCTTCGAGGCAGTGTCCACCATCTGGAGACGCCTATTCCGCTCATGCTCGAGATCGTCGCGTAACCCTTGCGTTACGCGATCAAAGAAGCTCTCGGGAACACACCGATCCACATGATCGTGTGGAGAGCGTCTTTCCTCCTCCTCCACCTCCATTAGAGGACTCTCGCGGTGGCCAGCGCTATCTAGTTGAGCAGCTGTTGAACCACCGCGACGTGAACGGACGTCGGACGAGTTACCTCGTCCGGTGGCGCGGCTATCCCCCGTCCTGGGATTCTTGGGAGCCCCGCTCCCAATTGATGGTTGACGTACTGGGTCTGGTCGAGCAGTACGACGCGGCACATCCTGTGCCGCAGAAGGACCGCCGGAGAAAGTCTTCCCGGCACGGTCGTAAAGGGATTTCAGGTTGTCAATCCCTTCGTACATCTCAGTAGAGACACGTACGCGCCACCATGTGCTAATAAGGAGGTAAGCCTCCTTAGGTGCTCGTGCAGAGTTGTTCACACAACATGGGCACGAGTCTCCCCAAGAGAGGCAGGGTAATCCTTTCTCCCTTGACAGACGATGCAGCTTGTAGCGTGCACCTGTCGGGGTTCGCTTTTCAAACTTATCACGAGCTTTGATAAGTTTGTCGTTCCAAGCGTCACGACCTACATCCTCGAGGTTATGGATGTAGGCGTTCCACGCCTGAAGTAGTGAGGGACCATCACGTTTGTGATTCCCACTGTACCATCGATGTCTGAAGAAAGCATCGATGAAGAACTCATGTTCAGCGCGATAGTCTTTCGCGCTGGGGTCAAGGTGATGGATCCTTGACGAATCGAACAATCGTGTTCGATAACGATCACTCGTCGTCGCCGACAAGTGATCCATGACGGATTTTGGAGGCATCCATGCCTTCTTTTCTGGAGCGAGACGCAACACATTGCGGTCCCGCTCTTCCTGCGACGTGCCGACAGAAGTACTGGCACCTCGCTGTGAAGTGGTGTCCATTGGAGAACCGACACCACTATTAGCGCCCGAGTCTCGCGACCTCGAGCGCCTTCGCTTCGGCGATGGTTCATCTGACTCATCAGATGAACCAAAGATGCTGCGACGCAAAGCATCGTCCATGCCACGCTTGGCAGGCGGCTTAGATTCAATCGCCGTCGATACGGATCCGTCATCCGTATCAGGAGAGTACGAGACACCGAGCTCGTACTCTGTGAAGACACGAGTGTCTTCATGACCAGCGCCTGCGTCACCAAGTGACACAGGCTGGGTCTCTTCAGCAACCGATGGGACATCAGTTGCTGTTGTTTCTGCTTCGGCGTCCGCACAGAGACGTGCAGACGCGCTCTCGGCGGCCTTGCTCGCGCATCGCATGGGCTTGTTTACCATGCGATGAAATGTTGGAAAGTGGACGCGGACCAACAAGTGCAAACCCTGTCCCAAATGATTTGGGACGAGTATCCATTTAGTCAATCAGTCACTAAAGTGACTGATGGTTAAGGGGGGGTGATGTAACGGGGTGAATCGTTACATAACAATTTATAAGAAATTGTTAATAGAATATAACTATAAGAGTTATATTCTCAGAATATTGTCATAAGGACAAATATTCTGTAGCACTTACAAGCAGTTCCTAATTGGTTGATATAGGCCATTATATCAACCAACGAAGACGCGCCACGACAGACGCACGCAATGAGTGGTGAGCAGATAATTGATTAACACATTTGTATTTAGACATAGTTAGATGAAGATAAATAGTGATTTATTGCAGACATTAACTATTATAAATACAGTTCTACTTTTTACTCTAACCAAGTACTCGCTTCTTCTTACCGTCTTCCTCTGCACGTACGAGTGTACGTGAAGTTACGAGGCACCGCCTTATTCTGTCATCAGAATAAGTAGCTTGTACTGTCACCAGTACAAGCTTCAGGGTGCCCCGTTACAGTTACGTTACGCTCAAGGTGTCACTTATCACACAGACTTAGATGCTAAGAAGGAAAGATGACCGTGCTATGAATGCATGGATGTTTGCTGAGGTTGACGCCTTTATGTGCTTGAGCATTCAAGTACACACGATAACTTACCTGCTGAAATGAAGATCTATGGTTCCGCTTTCTGCAGTTTTTAAGTACGGCCGCGACGTTCCTGTTCTACAACGAGGGCTACGCAGACCGGTTGTTGCTCTGTCAAAATAACATTTCATTCCTTTTCGAGCTATGATACTAGCCTATGCTTATCCGAAGCAATTGTGATATGCCGGGCCAACAAGTTTTGCCAAGTAATTTCCTGAGATCGTCCCGGCTCGCGCTTTTTTATGCCAAACTCCACTAAAAAAACCTTCGAGTGTCCTAGGCGTATTTCACGATCGTACGACACGCAGAATTTTCTTAGTGGGTTTGCGCAACAATTTTTCGCGAATCTTGAATCGTTTGCGGTGTGAGCAATACATTCAGTACGAAAAAGATGAGATTTTTTACCATCTTTATCAAGATATTCTCAATGCCGAGCAAGGATTAACGCGGGTGCCATGGTTCGCACCAAGGTAACTGAAACTTCATTGTTCATGATGACTACGTGCAAGGTTACCCTCGAATCGTATCGATAGCAAATTGCGTGTTTGTTGCTCCACCCAACAGTCAACTCTATCTTTAGTCATCTTCACATCGACAAATTATAACTTCGCAGTGGCTGAAGAGTTACAGAAGCCGTGCACAGCGCTGTACCGAGCAAGCTTTTTTTGCATTCGGACATCGTTGTGCACAACACCCGATAAGTGCAACTTACTCTAGGGCACCGAAATTTGCACCAGTTGACACGGTATCTGGATGTAGGTTCGAGACAAGATAAATTGCATTTATGTCTGCTCATGCAAGGTCTACAGATATCGCATTTGTAGTGCGGAAGCATCTAGAAACAGTCAGTGCTCTATCTTTGCATCGATAGCTGTCGACACACGCTGTTTCGAAGGATATGCCACCGCACCGTCATGTTGTAGCTCCAACGTGCCAGTTTTGCTTCTGTGCCAGCATCATTGAAAAGACAGCTGCAGAATGTTTGCTTCCAGCCTGATGTCGCTTGATAAGTTCGACCTTATCAAAGCGCATGTTTGTCAGCCATCGTCTACAGCCGAAAGTAAAGCGCACGAAAGGATCGGAACAAAAATGCAAACGGCGGCCAAGCAGCAGCACCGAAAAGTGATATCAAGTCACCTATTTCAGTCTTGTACCATCCCAAGTATCTCCTTCTAACCCACGACTGAAACGACGACGGTGTCTTAAGAAGTATTCATCCTCGTCCGCATTTCTCTCCTTCTCCTTATCTCAGCACGTCCGCGTCCTTGCTCCTCTAGTCCTCCTCGTCTTCCACCGTGAACTTCCCACGCTTGGACATAAAGTCGTGAAACGCCATAGACCCCAGTAACAACACGACTACCAAAGATTGGCCGTAAATACGGGTATGCATGATCTGCTGCGAGGCCGAGATGCCCTTATTCAGGTACTGGTAGCCGTAGATCCCGCCTACTAGAGGTGCACCCACCGCAACAAGAGCCCGGTACGGATGGTCGTACAGTGCATTGGCGCTCTTTTGCCAGAACTTCAGTTGCGACGCCTCTGACTTCGGCCTGACGTCCGACGTGCCTTGAAGTGTAGCCAAGTACATGTCTGGGTTACGGGCGCCATGTACGAGACGGTTCTCGGCAACGACGGTAAAAACCGCCAAGAAGGGCGACACGACAAGAGCTGTTTTGCCACTCACGCCTAAACGGTTGCGAAAAGTGGACCAGTACTTGTTGGCCGTCGCGACACCCGTGGCCGCTACGATAGCAGCGACTGTACCAGCTTTTAGCCCGCTAGTGTAGGCGTGCCACGAGATGACGTCACGGGCTTGCGTGGACGTGCCTGACGTTTGCATTGATTGATTCGAGCTGCGATTCGTGGCGTCCATGTGGATTAATGGATTGTGGAACGACTGAAGGCTCTTTTGTTGTGTGATTGAGGGCTCGTGTTGTCTGCTTTCGACAGTGAAGGAGGGAGTTGGGCAGCTACTATATGGCGATTTTGAAACTGACTGATCGTGGGTCGCTTGGGTGCTAAAAGGGCGAAGGGGGAAGAAGAAAAACAATGTCACACACAAATGTACTCACGTTAAACTAGGTGATTACATCATGCTCCATCAGTGCGATTGATGGTGATGAAGCGTTTGCTACTTCGTGTCGTGGCTGCGCTCGTCTTTGGAGCAGGGAACTAGAGTCTTGTAGTGCAGATTGTTCTGATGCTGCTACACGCTGTAAGTGGCAAGTCAGAGGCCAAATTGGGAAAATGTAGACCATCGGCTGAAGCTGGGTAGCCTTCGTCGCTGCTCTTAAGCTGATGAATGACACAGACAAGCGGTCGTTTGTGACAACGGTAGTCTCGTTCGTCGATAGTAAGCTCACGCCGGTGCTTTGCTGCTTTAGCTGTCATGATTATTGTGTATCTGCGACGCTCAAGCATGACTACATCGGCCCGTGGTAGCCGAAAGATTCTGACTTTGTCGTTGACCTATTCTACTTCCTGCCACGATTACACACAAAGAGACCTCTCAAGCTGCATCCTGATCGCCTGCTAGAGAATCCACACGCGTCTCGTGATAATTGAATCGATGATGAGGGACTGCTGGAGAAAAGAGGTTGTGGAGTTTGGCGGCTGCTTCCGTTTCAACAAGATCGTAGCAAGGAAGCTTGTAGGATTGCGCGTTAATCTTATCATTCAGCTGTATGCAATGAAGACAGAGACCTGCTGCTAGGCGCACGTTGTCTTGCTTCAAAAAATGTAGATACAGTTCTGCGTGCTGCATCTAAATTGAACAATGGAGTTGAAGTCATCGCAATGCAGCGTGTGCGATTGGCATAGTGCATTATCTCCAATTCTTGAGTCGGCCCTAACTACTTACGTGGGTCAAGCACGTATGTAGCAAAGAGGTTTTGGGATGACGCGATAAGTTTACTCCTCGCGTGACGGCGTAAATGCTCTGCAGATACAAAGCTTTGATAGAACGATATGTATCCGAAGTGATCTGTTCACGTTTTTAAAGGACTGACACTGTAGATTTACTTTCTGTAGTCCGCAGATAAGGTAGGATAAGGGTATGATAATGGTACATCATAAGCTAATTCGATCGAGCATTTGACGTCATGTTCCCTGACGATGCTGACACGACTCAGTGTACAATAAGTCACTTGAGCGTATAGCTGCCAGCTATAAGAATCGGGGAAAGAGTGCAGACGTTGGCATGGTGCTTTTGCTTCTATATCATACGCGGCTACAGAAAGCATCCATTACCGATCTCCGAGCCGGGACCTCCAGACGATTTGTCGATTTGTACGAATACTTTCTTTGCTGAGGTACCGTCAGACCTCTTGGGGTGGGGGGGGTTGTTGGGAAACGCAAAAGGGAAAACAAAAAATTTTTTTTAAGGGGGGGGGGGAGAGGAGGGGGTGAGGGCTTAAAGATGGTCGCGTTTTGTGATGATTACAACTCCACAACACAATTGATGAGGATGCAAACACAGTGTTAACCGTGAGATGATTGTAACATACGGTTCAATAAGGCTTTGAGTCGACAGTGGACAGGAGCATTTGTATGCAGCTATGGCCCTGGTCAAGAGTATGTAGGAGCATGATACCTGCCGATCGAATGAGACTTTATAGTGAGCGTGAAGGGGGAACATAAAGTCACTGAGGTCCAGTAAGAAGAACCCAGATGTAAACGCACACTCTGGCTATCGCAATAGCGTACATGTTTTATACAACTACGATTCATTACTTCGGTAATATTGCAGCCAGCGTTGTCTACACTGAAGCTCGTACCAAATGTGAGCAGACGAGACACCGCTTTCTCATGCAGCCTGAACTGCTTGCTGAAGGAAAAAGAAGATAGCCAAAGAATCTATTTACGTACCAAGAAGTCTGCGACCTTCACAGTTATCTACATCAATTTCAGCTCACTTCATCGATTGATAGCAAACTGGTGTGGTGGCCAATGTCAATCATCGGGCGTACAAACCTAGGCCAGATGTCGGTGCTACCGATCATCGGGTTCACCACCTACCCTTAAGTGTGGGCTATAAATAGTTTACATTCGAAGTTCTGCATAAGCATAAGTAGTGTATGAAACTCTACTTTTTCCAACGAAGTGGTGTGCACTATCCCAAATCTGGATTTTCGACAACTCTATTTTGTAATCGTTAGCATTACATCGAGCAATCCAATATCAAAATAAAGAGGCTAGATACAAAAAAGTCACTTTCATTCAATGCTAAGTTAATTTCCGACCTTGATGTGTCCAAAACAGCAGGATTCAGTGCTTTCACTAAGAAACCCACGCTCCGCGCTCGTGGAAGCCGTCCGGCTTCACTTGGCTTCAAATCATCCCATCTTGAATCCTTTGAGTGCATTGCCGCGATTAGCGCCGGATCCACCATCGAACACACATCATTTTTTTAACAGATGTCCAGAAAGGTAAAATAAGCAGCGATAGCTAGGCCGTCACATTGTTACTAAATAGCATCCGATGGCTATTCTTCTGTCGTATCGTTTCATCCAGCTCGTAATCTACAAGGTGCTGCATAATAAGTAGTCACCTCTCGCATCAAACTCTTGTACTTGCATCTCCCATCGACATACGCCACAACGCGGTGACATTTTGGAACAAAACATCACGACTGTACTCCAAACAAACCCAGACTCTCATGTCCCAGATTGATGGCTCACAAACAGCCACCCTCATCAGTACATCAACTTCTCGACAGTGGCCAAAATCAGTGCAAAGTAGATGCGTCGTCAGCACGACGCGTCGTCGTCGAATCTCCCGAGAAAGAAACAGTCGTCCAGAACTTGCAACCGTCGGTGCGACGAATTGAACAGATTAAAAATAGGTGGCGGCGACAGTATCGCTCATAAAATTCCACGCAAGGCGCCGTTTAAGCGGTCCACCCACCATCCGCCACTGCGATTGGCCAAGAGACCCGTTGCTACAAAACCAATCGGTTTTCCACACAAACAACAGCGCCCACCCACAATCACTTCCTCAGTCAGTCACATAGTCGATCGAAATAGTAGCTCCTCAACCCGACAGGATGGAAACGGGCCACCACCACCTGCTGCTGCGAAACAACCACCTGCAGCCGCCACAATCGCCGTCACATTTAGACCCCCCGAGTGCCTCCGCTCCCGCCTCCGTGCCTGTGGTTGAAACCGAAGGCAAATTGCACACGTTCGAGCGACTCCACGCTGAAGGGTTCGCGTACCTCGCGGACAACTCCTACATCCGGTCGGGCTATCGGCTGCACTATTCGGCTCAAGACTGCTTTTTATCGCTGTTTGAGCTCCACAATGAGACACTCAACGTGTGGACGCATATTATGGGCTCCTTTATCTTTCTCATGCTCATGCTCTATCTAGCACTGTCAGGTCATGCCCTGTCTCGAGCTACAGACGGAGGATCGCGCGTCGTCAATTCCAAGACGACACTGCAGACCTGGTGCCATACACACGAGCCATATTTGATTCATGGACATCATACTCCACGGCTGTTCCTGGCTGGGAGCTTACCAGAGCTCTGTTCACCCGCTTTAAGCCTTGCTGCTCCAGCCAAGTACTATGAAGTAGCAAGCGCGATCTTTGACCACAGTTTACAACGACTGCCCAGTCTTGAGCGCTTCCACGCGCTCGTGGAGCACAATGTTGGTGGGTTTTCCGACTCGGTGGGGGCGCAAATGGAGCAATTACGTCACGAACTTGGTGCTCTATCGACACGACTGGGAGCTCATGTCCGTGATACGCCTTCGGAGCACGTGCGTTCGCTCAAGACGCAGCTGGACGATCGGGTCCAATCACTTTCGGTGTTTATACAGGATGTAGCGAGCCAAGTGGGTGCCGATTTGCCCATGAAGTACGTGCTGGAGGAACTCCATGGCGTCGCGGAGAGTGTTCGTGGTGGACTACACATATTAGCAATGGAAGAGGGACCGCACGACGTGCCTCATTGGCCACTCTTTGTCTTTATGGCCAGCGCCGTGATTTGTCTCACGTGCAGCGCAGTCTTCCACTTGATGTTTGTGGTGAGTCGCTCGGCCTATACGCTCTTGTCACGACTGGATTACGCTGGCATTACGATTCTCATTGCTGGATCGTTTTATCCGATGATTTACTACTCGTTTTACTGCCACCCGTGGCAGCGCAGTGTCTATCTGGTCGCGATCACGACTTTGGCGGCACTGACGTTCACCGTGGCGCTGCTGCCGATCTTCGGCACGCCTCGATTCCTCTTGGCACGTACGTGCATCTTTCTGGCGCTGGGATTCTTCGGTTTGGTTCCGGTGACTCATTTGGTGTGGCATTTCGGTCTTTCGGACCCTCATGTGACGATCATGATCGGGCCACTGCTGCTGATGGGATTGCTGTATACGAGCGGTGCCGTCATTTACGTGACCAAGTTCCCAGAGCGCTTTTATCCAGGTCGCTTTGACCTGTGGTTCTCGAGCCACCAGCTTTGGCACATTTGCGTCGTGGCGGCCGCGCTCGTGCACTTTGCCAATGCTCTACAGCAATACGAGTGGCGTTGGAACACGCAGTGCGAAGCATAGCCGGATCTGATGAGCAATAGCTTGTTTGGTCGCAATATCCACTAGATGCCGCTACTGGAGATGCTGGGTCGCTGTGGGTAGCTATTTTATAGAGTGGGTGCGTATTTTTTGGGAATTGATGTATTCACACCCTTTTTCGCACTCTTCCTATTAAACTCGATACTCAATTTCACACCCTCCCTGCTAAATCCGATACTCACATCATCATTACAAGCATTTGTTTTCTAGCCCCTCCTTCTTGTCAAGCTCTTTACTAACATCCTTTATCACAGATAAATGCTTTCTGAAAGAAACAATCAATTATCTAGATTTTACAACCAATCACGCATATTATATTCATAAGTTTATCATGAATTTTTTTACTTGATGAGCACATCACGATATCGTGGAAATTTCAAGTGACTTTTATCTGGTCGTTTATTGTATAACACCTCCGATATACAAAACATATCATTCTGGTAAGGCGTCATAGGATGATTGCCGCATCACGTCGGCAAGGATTCATTGAATTAAAAGAACTGCTATGCATTAACATACCGACTGTAACGGAGTTACACGCGGTTACCAAACCAGTTATGTTGTGTGTCCACACCAAGTAAATATCGCTGGATCTGAGTGGTACAGTCTTCGTACCACGTACGTACGGTAGTACCGCACCTTATCGGGTAGGGATAAGGGATATGCCATCTGTCATATGATCGCTATATAGAAGTCAGTCAGGCAATGTTTTATGGCCGTATTACCGTAGTTAAAGAATAAATAAAGTACAGTTTCCCTTTTGAATCGTTGGACACATGTGCCTAGTAAAGACGTAGTGTGTTGTGAGAGCATTAGCCTTGTCGAGGCGTTTACTCTTGTTTTACTAGTAGTCTCTAGTTAGTGTGTGATTCGGTGAATCGTAATCCCTTTTTAACGGGGACTGTTAAGTTCGCACGCTCAAACGACTGTACGTCGTTGTTGGTATGTTATAACTAGGAGACTATCTGAGTCGAATACTTCCTCTGTTAAAAAGCGCTAAGTGGCTCCGCTACAAATTCTGTAAATCGATGAAATCCCAATGGGACTGGAATTGTTAAGCTTGTATGCTTAAGCGACTGTAAGTCAATGTTAGTTTGTTATCAGTGAGAGACTCTTTGAGTCTAAGGATTTCTCTGCTAAAGAGCATTAAGTAGCTCCGCTACATGGAGGTTGCCATTAGCTCGACCCTGCTGCGGTCAGAGCATCCAAAGGTGGACCTGGTGTAATGGGGCACCCTGAAGCTTGTACTGGTGACATTACATGCTACTTATTCTGACGACAGAATAAGGCAGTGCCTCGTAACTTCACGTACACTGGTACGTGCAGAGGAAGACGATAAGGAGCGAGAGTACTTGGTTAAAGTAAAAAGTAGAACTGTATTTAGTATAGTTAATGTCTGCAATAAATCACTATTTATCTTCATCTAACAATGTCTGAATACAAATGTGTAGATCAACTATCTGCTCACCACTCATTGCGTGCGTCTGTCGTGGCGCGTCTTCGTTGGTTGATATAATGGCCTATATCAACCAATTAGGAACTACTCGTAAGTGCTGCAGAATATTGTCCTTATGACAATATTCTGAGAATATAACTTTTAAATTTATATTATTAACAATTTCTTATAAATTGTTATGTAACGACTCACCCCGTTACACCTGGCCCTATCAAAGTTAGGGTGGGCCAGTTAGGGAGTGTACCTTTACTTTTGGCACCTCACTAGAAAAGCCTTTCCCATCTGGGACATGTTAAAACAACAAATCTCTTGGATGCTTGTCCCGCCTAATCAGGCACGTCGCGTTCGATCACGCTGCCTGTCAGCCCGCCAGGGTAAAAAGGACTTAGTCGATTATGTCCAGGAGTTACGAACTCCCATTGCTGCTACTCAGATTGACCCTTTAACTAAGACGGTTCTGGTAATCATTTTCATGAAGGGTCTTTGTACTGACATTGCCAGAACAGCAGTGTTTCATTTCGTGCAACCCTTGACATTTGAGGGTGCAGTGGACATAGCGTAGGAGGCAGAGTTCAATTTCAGAGCTTCCCGTTATGGGACTCATGGGTTCCAATCGAAATCGTCGAGCAATGCTCATCTCATGGATAGGGCAAAAGCAATGGACCTTAGTCTAGCTGAGAAAGACGAAGAAGCTGAGCTTTACACTGTCGAACAGAGTTTGTAAATCCGTTGATGTTTTACGTGCAGAAGCATCAAACACCTTCGCCCCAATAATCATTTGAGAAGGAGCAGACAGGCTTATTTGAGCCGACCTCTCGTCACTAATCAAGAGTTGGTAAGGCGCGGAGAAACGCCGAGTTCCAACAGGCGTGGGGCGCCCTGCTGAGAAGGATTTACTCCCTGTCGTACCTTGAGGAGATGACGGATAACAGGTCTTAGCCCTTAGTGGCTTCGTGAACAATACCAAGGAGCATGAGTACAAGCCAGGCTTTTTAATTGCGAAAGCAACCATGAAGGGCTAGCTTAAGCCATGGTCAATTTTGATCGACTCCGGGGCGTCAGAAAATTACGTCCAACGTTGTTCCCTGGAAGGTAGTCAGCAGTATGCTGATGCGCTAAAAGCGCGAAAGATTGAGACTATCACTGTTCACTTGGCGACAGGGGCATGAGTCACTGCGCTTAAGGTTAGCGTGAACTTAGGTGCCAAGTTTTAGGAAAATTCGAATGCATCGAACGCAGTCTAGTCCTTGACTTAGATGAGAGGCATGATCTCATCCTTTATATGGCTTGGCGAGAGCGCTATGAGCCATTTAGTAATTCGAGGTTAAAGACCTTATGCACAATGTGCACTGTTCCTAGTGCAGCTTTGGAGAGTCATGAGCCCACCTCTGCAAGGAAACAGAAACGCTATTGTCGCGAGCCACAGACTAAGACAGTCAGTGTGCTGGACATCGGTGCGGCTGAAACCATTATTTTGGACGATGTCAACAGCATTAGTTACGAGCCAAGATAAATGAATTCTAGTCGAACGGCACGTACTCCGTCGAGTGATAATCATTGTGATACCAAATCACTGAATGCTGAATGCTTTGTTGGCCTAGAGACAAGTCATCATGGGTTGAACTTATCTGATGAGCGTGGAGTGGCATTTCAGTACCCACAGAGTGATGTTTGCCGATAATGAGACACACTGAATGTCAGTCAAGACAATGTTGGTGAAAGACCAATTCATCAAGGGCGATGCCCGTTTGATGAGCGTGGAGTGGCACGTAAGTACCCACTTAGTGGTGATCTCACTGGAAGTGACTCATCACCAGATGTCGGTGATGACATCGGATCTGACATCGATAAATCTGAGGTTGACGCAGTTCGTCACCTTGGGTGCAGTGTCGTCCCAGATCTCGGTAGTGACATCGGCCCTGATATTGGTCGAATTAAGGTGACGCACTCCGTCACTTTTAGGGCGGTATAGTCCCGGATGTCGGAAAAAGTATCGGCTCTGGTTATGAGAAACTTAAGGTTGACGGTCATGTCAATCTAAAGGACATTGATGTCCCGTGTGTCGGTAATGACATCGGCTATTGTAAAAAGCAAGTTAAGAATGATGATGCTATCAACCTTGTGAATGAGAAAGTTTCAGTCTCGTCGAAACGTTCAGTCTCGTCACAGAGACGACAGCGACGCCAGATTGTTGTAATGCAACGCAAGGCGTCTGTTGCGTCACTGAGTAATACTAGCGAGCAGCTAAATACACTCGTTAGTGAAGTGACCGGTAACGTAGATAGATCAGTGAGTCTTGAGACTCTAGCCTCACTGAATTCTCTGTCAGAGCTAGACGAAGTGTCTGTTGATGAGTTTGGCCAGGCCTTGAGGTCGGGTAACTTATCTGAAGTGGTGGTCATTTGATCCGATAGCGAATTGAACTCATCGTCACTCCTTCAAGAAGCTGTCTTGGAGGACACAAAGGAGGCACTGAGTACTCAAAGTGAGTCATCGATCTTGAAATATCCTAAAGACCCGTAACCCTTTGGTAAAGAAAAATTCAGGATCTGGTGTGTCACGATCCACCTTCCACTCTACTTTCTGGTAAAGGCGTACGTCATAAAATTGACCTGATTTCTGGAGCCAAATACTGTGTGAAACGGCCATAGCCTCTACCAAAGGATCAGTGTGACGTCATTGAAGAGTTAATTCGTGCAAAGCACGCGGTTGGAACGGTGCTTGAGAGCAAGTCTCTGCACTCGAAACCGACATCTTGTGTCAGAAAGCCAAATGGCAAGTGGCGAATTATGCATGCTCACAATAAGATCAATGCAGCCACTATACCGGCACAGACGCCTGTTCCTCAAAAGGATATTCTTCAGAACTCTATGGTAGGTTGTACTGTGCTCGGTGCAATCGATTTTGTTGATAAGTGTAATCAATTGATCATGCGAGCGATTATTTTTATGCTCATAGCGATTAGTACTCCAAGCGGTATGCTTCGGAAGGGGCTTGTTATGCCTCAAGTGCTGTCTAATGACCCAGCTACTTTTAATCGTCTTGTGACGCAATTGTTCCGACCTCATTGAGGATACGCACAAAGCTATTTCGATGACATCTTTGTCCACAGTCGTGCAGAACATGAAAGGTCAGATGTAAAGAATCAATTTAACCATTTACAGTAGTTAGATGTGGATAATCAAATTAATCATTTACAGGAGTGCTCGAGTGAATGCGCACAAACAAGATGTTTGCGAATAAATTGAAACAAATTTTTGTTGCGAAAGCATTCCCTTCTTCGGGTGCTTCATTAAAAGGTGTGGCCTTCGAGCGGATTGCTAAGGTGAAGTTAGTTGTTGACTGGCCGGTTCCTTCGAAAGTAAAAGGACTTGCGTATATAGATCGGCCTTGCCAATTTCGTGCACAAGGACAGTGCAAACTACGCTGACATGGCTAGGCCATTAACCAAACTCCTCAAGAAGGATGCAGTTTGGTGTTGAGACGCAGTCGATGCTCAAGCTTTTGTAGCTATAAAGGCCAGTCT